AACATGCAGCTATGGCAGGTGTAGAGGGAACAATAGTTTTCCTGAGAGTGAATTCATCTTTTCAGATGGGAGGGGTGGTACTGGTGGCTAGAATGTCTCAGTAGAATCTAGGGGTTCAATGTCCTCATCTTCCAGATTATCAACCTTTATATTCCCATCCCAAGTTTTGGGGTTCCATTTCTTCCCAATCAGCGCCTTCACTTAAAAATTAGACACCACGCTAGAATGATAATTAAACTGGCATTGTACTTCGGCTGCCCGTATGAGAAGACTCTGAGTCTGATTTTCAGAAATGATCAATTCTGCTACTTCAATAGATAAGGTACAAGAGGAAGATCAATGTCATCTAGGCAGCATTTGATCCAGGCACCTGAAATTCTGAGTCCATCTCTTTCTTTTATCAGTTTATCTCTGATAAGTAGTTCCAACTAACCAGCACCCCTATACTTCTTCATCCTGACAAAATTATAGAAAGATATAAAGCACACAATCATCCAGAACCTCACTTCTTACCAATACTTCATCTCTTGGTAGTGCTATTTTGGATATATGTTTTGCAACCTCATGCCATGGATGAGCAGTGCTCTGCTCTCTTTACTAATAGAGACACACCAACTGTAATAACAGAGACAACTGCCGTGTTCTCAATGCATTTAGTCCTAATCAGACTTGAGGACCAATTAGAAAAGTCATCTTTACAATACCAAATGTGCCAGGCTAGGTTCTCTAGAAAAGCATTTGCATACATATGTATCTAGAAAGATATTTATATCAAGAAGTAGCTCAAACAATTTTAGAAGTGGATGAGTCCAGTCATGTTCAATTCCATAGGTTAGATGTAACCTAGAGATTTCTCTTGACTTATATAACTGCAGGGACTGACAAATAGGAAACATGGATATGAAGCAGGAAGACCACAGGCCTGTGGGTGCAAAGCTGAATGAATCAAAGGTCCACCAAATGAATTTAAAGGTGGCAGTGCAATGATAGCTTCTGGGAGTTGGCAGGCAATATACCATATATATTTGTGTATAAGCCAAGTTTTCAGCACATTTTTTATACAGCTTTGGTAGTAAAATTAGGTGCCTTGGGTGATATTCGGGTCAGCTTATACTCGAGTATATATGGTAATAGAAAATCTACAAACCAGATGCAGGATCCAGATCCAGAAGGAGAAGTGAAGCCAGCTTCCACACAATGCCAATCTATACAAAGAGCAGGCCACACCCAAATGAACCTTATCACAATTGTCTCAAGGCTGTGACCAGATTAAGAAGGTGGTACTCTACCTGTTCACATAAATGCTTGGATGCTTCACAGAAGATCCCATCATGGAGTTTGCCATACTATGTTAGATCATATCATTGGAGAAACCTGGCCCACCTAGGTTGGCATAAAGTGTAACTATGACAACAAACAAGAAAATAGATAGATACTATGGCTGCAACTAAGCTCTCAAACATAAAAATGATTATGAGGATGGTGCAGTGTTTCATTTTGTTATAAAATTGGTGACCTCATATGTTTCAAAATTGAACTGAACTGCCAGGGTTTTCAATGATTGATTTTTTTCAAAATCATCAGAGTCTTACTAGGTGCTCTGAATTGATTCAAATCTCCAGTTTGGGCTATACAAGTCACATGCATTAACAATTTGCACCTTTTAAATCTAAACCAACTGCCATTGAGTCCATTTGTACTTATAGATACCGTATAGGACCTGCTTCATAGGGTTTCTGAGACTGAAAATATAAGTGGACTGTCTCATCTCTCTTTTGCAAATGATATGTGTGTTTGAACTGCCAGTCTTTTGGTTAGCAGCAGAACATTAAGCCACTGAGATATACAGAAATTTTATAGAATTTTGAAACTAGAAAGAAATTTAAGTAATCTATTAGTTTCATTCTTACTTTAGGTAGCTATCCTAAAATTTCAGAAACTAAGTAGTAGCTAATATAATTCAATGGTGATAGCAGAGTCAGTTCCCATAATTCTGTTAATTATTAGATGTAAAATGCTAAAAAAAGAGTGTTTGGCACATAGTAGACCCTTGATTACCACTAATTACTACTATTACTTGGAGTAATGGTAATAGTCGGAGTTATAGTAATGACAGTAATAGTAATAATAGTTATATTGGTAGTCATGATAACATTATTATTGAAATACTTCATAATAAATTATATTTTATATGCAACATTTGATCTACCATGTGTAAGAATATTTAAATGTCAACAGATATTATAGCAGAGATACAGATGTACCTGAAAGTTCTAGGAGAATTTAGCAAACAGAAATCAATTGAGTAGGTCCCTAAAAGTTAGGAGTGGATTTTACTGTATATACTGTATTTTCACAAGCCAACTGGAGAATCTTATTATATTGAACATATAATTAATTTGTACTTTCTAGTAAAACTTTTGCCTACTAAAGAAATAAGAGTTTTAATGAAGATGTTAATCATAATAATATATTTGATATATCAAAATTATAGATATGCTAATTTCTCTAGACATGGAAAGACAATTTATTCTTTGTTTTATAATGTTAATGGGTTATACAAGATAAGACAAGTTTAATATTTAAAAAATATAATTGCTAAATTTACAATTTGTTCGGGACAAATGATTGATTCTAAGGTCCTGAGTAATTTTTCAGTCTCTTGCAACAGATTTCAGAATATGATTCTCCTTTGAAATAGTAGATTTAATTCAGCCCATATCATCCGTTCATGTTCAGAGGTATTATCCAGATTGTGAATACTTTACTTCTTTCTTCATTTCTCCTTCCATTCTTTAATTATTGACATTTTAGTCTTGGTGATCTCTCCATAAGAACAAGCAGAGAAAAGTAGGCATAGGAGTACGTAAAAAGAGAAAGATGTTAAAAACCACAATGCTGACATTTTCTATGTAGTATTTATAATAAGTGTGAGAAAGAGTTGGAAATTATTGACTAAAGCAAGGTTGTTTCTTTTTTGTTTTCCTTCTTTATTTTTTAACTATACCATGGATATGATATAAGGTAGTTTCATTATGCATAATTGTAGAAAACCAAATGTATAGTTGCAAAGTTAATTCTATAAAGGAATAATTCAATATTTCTCCTTCTGTCTATTTCTATCCCAATTTCTACTCTTCTGATTTAGTCCTCATCAGCACTGCCTAGAGGAGAGCAAGCTTTTTACATTGTCTCCTAACTTCTAGGTTTTTATCAACTCCCCTTTAATACACAGTGATACCTCAGTTGTCAAACTCAATTCCTCCCAAATTCATGTGAGAGCATTGAAAAGTTTGAGAACTGAACATAGTTTCCCGTAAGAAATAATGGAAAACCAAACAATTGGTTCTGGGGCCCCCAAGGTACACGTAACAATGCATTTTCCCAGGACTTTAAATCACGATGGTGGCTTTTAGCCTTCTTGCCTCCCACTCTCTGGGACTATGCTATTGCAGTGGAGCGTTTCCTGATTCATCCAAGTTACCAGTGACTTTTCAACCGCTTCTACGGTCTGGGTTGTCTTGTGTGGTTAACAAATTCACACAGTCCACTACATTAGCCACTTCAACCCCCTTCCACCACCACCACCACAAAGGTTGCTAATGTAGGCTTAGTCAGGTTGTATTTGCCTGCCAAATCAGACAAACCTGATTCAAATCTTGCAATGGTTCCTTTCTTTAGCTCTATCGAAGTTTTCACAGTTTTCCTCTTAGCTTTACTACTGGTATCACTACCTTTCTTTACAGCCATGGTGATGATATTTTATGCAAAAAAGCACAGTGATGAATATTTTCTGCACAAACACATGCACTGTATGTTGTCTGAGTGAGAGCAGTGCTTGACTGAAGCGTCATACCTTTGTGCCTGTGGCTAGAGGTGACGTATGACTCACTCTCAGCCTGTATAAAGTTATAAAGACTGACCATAGTTTTTTCAAACTTTGCTGTTTCAGTAGTTGAAAGTTTGAATCTGGAGCCATTCGACAACCAAGATGTCACTATTCCCAACAAGAAACTGGTTTACCTAATTGAATTCTGATCAGATGACACCCCTGTTCATAGGTATTTCCCTTCACATATAGGATACAGCACAAGCTAATCCGTTCCATGGTCAGAAACAAAACAAAAACCCACTACCACCGAGTCAGTTCTGACTCATAGCTCCACGTCAGTTCCAAATCCTCTTGACCCTAGAGGGCAGAATAGAACTGCCCCGTAGGTTTCGGAGACTGTAACGCTTTACAGGTGTAGCAAGTCTCATTTTGCTCCCGCGGAGCAGCTGATGGTTTCAATCCGCTGACCTTGCAGTTAGCACTTCAACTCATAACCACTTCCCCACCAGGGTGACCCTGTATAGAGTTTCTAAGGTCACACGTCTTCACAGGAGCAGAAAGCCTCGAATTTCTCCTGTAGAGTGGCTGGTGAGTTTGAATTGCCGCCTCTGATGACACTACATTGCTTCACCAAAAGTGCCAATTCGGACCTTTGATTAAAGACATCCTTTATAATTTAGCCTCTACCTGACTCCCTTTTCACAGCATTTCCTTCCATTCACCTCTTAATCTTCAAAGTCACATTAATAACAGACTATATATAGCTTCTTAGTCATGAGGTTTTAAATTGCATGCATAGCCTAAAGGTAAATATTTTGTAATAAAAGATCCTGAAACCTGACGACCTTGCAGATCACAACCCAACATGTAACCTATAACACTAGGTCTCTTGGCACAAAGTATTTCATCTATAATAAATGGTCATAGTGCCCACATTAAGATATAGTTTATAAAATTGTGAGGGAACTGATAATATTCATATTTTAAAAACTGCAACTGACACAAAGTAGAGCTCTAGCTCACAATATTTTATTATAAGATATTTACCTTAAGGCTTATCCATGAGGTTTAATTCATCATTTGTTTCAGAAGTTCAAAACTACCTGAATATTATTATTATTTAAAATGTCTCCAGCACAATATTCACTCAGTAACCTGTTATGCTTACTTCTGCTTTGAAGCTCAACTGCAAGTTGTCTTTCCAGATTTTCTCTAATTTCTCTTTCTCGGTAGAGCTCCATCCGCAGTTCCTTCTTTTCTTGCAAAATCTGTTTTTCCTGGATGCGAGCATTATCCAAAGCCACTTTCAGCAGACCCTGTTAAAGTACAACAAATGATATGCAGTTTATCCTCTCTGTTTTAACGTCTAAAATATAAAGCTATCTTTGTAGGTCCCAATGTCTTGTATTAAATTTATTTTGTTTATAGAAATATTGTTGACCTGAATGTTAGTCAACAGAGTCTCCACGGAGGACAGACTATCAGCAAGAATGAATGCTCCAGGGAACCCCGCAGGCAGCGCCTGTCCAGGAGCCAATTGTATCTTGTCCAGGGGTGGCTTCATCACTGGAACTGGTATCTCCTCTGAAAAACAAAATTAATATCAGAAAATACGCCCATACACAGCTAAAATTGTTCACTATATTGCTTTTGTCACGAACAGAAATTATTAAACATTTTGTTTCTAACATCTACATGATGGGAAATCCATAATAAAAAGCAATTCCTATTCCCTAGATGCCTCTAAAAGAATTGCTGTGGAAAATAACTACTGAAATTAGAACAATAGTTACTGGTAAAGAGGCTTGACATTAGAAAAATATTTCTACAATATATACAACTGACACTTAATTTCTGATTACCCATAAATTGAATCACAGAGTATCTTCATGGTAAAGCATAAACTGCTTTTATTTTTTCCCTTCAAAAACATTTCTATTTGTCTTCATTATTTTAACAGATTTAGTTGGGGAATAATTTACATACCATAAAGTGTAACTGCTTTTTCAGTTGAATTAAGTTATTTACAATACATATTTGGAGGTGTGCAATGATTATCACAGATCCAATTTAGATCATCTCTCTCTCTCAAAAGATCCCTTAAACGTATTTACAGTTAATATGCTTTACTGCACAGTCCCAGAAAGCTACTAATGTATTTAGATTGTATACATTTGCATTGTTCTAGATATTTCACTTGTTATTGGGGTTGTCAAGTCAGTTCTGTTCATAGTGACCCTATACAAAACAACAAAAAAACTGCTTCATCCTGTGCTAGCCTGAAAAACGTTGTTATGCTCGAGCTAATCATTGTAGCCATCATATTAATCCATCGTGTTAAGAATATTCCTCTGTTTCATTGAGCCTCTACTATACCATACATGGTGCCCTTTTGCAGGAACTTGTCTCTCCTGATTACGTGTCTAAAGTATATGAGATGACGTCTCGGCATCCTCACTTCTAAGGAGTTTTCTGGCTGCAATTCTTCCAAGACAGATTTTTTTGTCTTATTCTTCACCCGCTGCACTATTCAAATGCATTGATTCTTCTTCAATCTTCCTTACTCTATGTCCAACTTTCAGATGCATATGAGGTGATGGAAAATATTAAGTCTCGGGTCCGGCACACCTTAGCACTCAAAGAACCATCATTTCTTTTCAACACTTTAAAGAAGTCTTATGCAATAGATTTACTCAATGCAGTGATTTGTTTGATCGCTTGACTGCTGCTTCCAAGAGCGTTGACTATGGATTCGAGTAAGATGAAATCCTTAACAACTGCAAATATTTCTTCGTTTATTGTGATGTTACCTATTGGTCTAGTTATGAGGATTTTTGTTTCTTTTACATTAGTTGTGACCCATATTGAAGCTCTGATTCCATATTCAGGAGCAAGCGCTTCAAGTTCTCACTTTCAACGAGCAAGGTGGCCACCTGCCTATCTGCCAGTCACCAATTGTGGATCAGCCTTCCTCCAAGGCTGATGCTGCATTCTTCTTTATATATTCCGGTTTCTTGGATTATTTTGTCAGCATACAGATTGAATAAGTCTGGAGCATGTCAATCCTGACACGCACTTCTCCTGATTTTAAGCCATGCCTATTCCCTTGTTCTGATCTCACAACTGCCTCTTGAGTCATGTAGAAGTTCTGCATGAGAACAATGATGTGTTCTGGAATTTCTGTTCTTCTCAGTACTATCCATAGTAAATCATCATCCACATAGTCTCATGCCTTAGCATAATCAATAAAATACAAATAAACATCTTTCTGGTATTCTGTGCTTTGCACCAAGATCCATCTGACATAAACAATAATATCTCTTATTTCACATCCTCCTGTAAATCCAGCCTGAATATCTGGCAGCTCTATGTAAATGTAATCATGCAGCCAATGTTGTGTGATCTTCAGAAAAATGTTAGTTGCATGTGATATCAATTATATGTTCTATATTTTGCACATTTTTGGTCACTTTTGGAATAGGTGCAAATACAAGCGGCCATCTAGCTCAGAAGCAACAAAGCCCACATGGAAGAAGCACACCAGCCCGCATGATCATGAGGTGTTGATGGGATCAGGTATCAGGCGTTTAAGACTCAGAATAAAACCATATCCAAGGTGAATGGGGGTAGGGGTGGAGTGGAGATCCAATGCCTATCTGTAGACAACTGGACATCCCCTCACACAGGAGTCACAGGGAATAGATGATCCAGTCAGGGGGCAGTATAGCACCGATGAAACACACAACTTTCCTCTATCTCTTTGATGCTTCCTTCATCTGACTATCATGGCCTCAATTCTACCTTACAAATTGGATTAGACCAGAGCATGCACAGTGCTACAGATAAGAGCCCGCAACATAGGGAACTCAGGATAGATAAATCTCACAGGGCCAACAATGAGAGTAGTGATACCAGGAGGATTAGGGGAGGGTGGGGGGGAGAAAAGGGGAATCACTCATAAGGATCAACCAATAGTCCCCTCCCAGGGGGGACGAACAATGAAAAATTAGGTGAGGGTGATGGAGGACGATGTAAGATATGGAAAGACTAATCTATAACTTATCAAGGGTTCGTGAGGGAGGGAGGGCGGGGGATGGAGAGGGAAGAAATGCGGAGCTGATATCAGGGGCTCAAATGGGAAGAGAATGCTTTGAAAATGATGGATGGCAGCATGTGTGCAAATGTGCTTGACACATTGGAGGAATGTATGGATTGTGATAAGAGATGTAAGAGCCCCCAATAAAAGTTATTTTAACAAAATGAAATGGAATGCATTAATATCAATACCCGAGGTTGGTGAGCTGAATTGACTAGTATTGGCCATTTTGAATCATAAAATCATATAGTTTACTTTGCTGGGAAAGACACAGTCATGAGGAATAACATTGGAGTTCTAGTCAAAAAAGATATTTCAAGGTCTATCTTGAAATATAATGCAGACTGTGATAGAGGTATATCTTTCTACTTTCAAGGAAATTCAAGCAATACAACTATTATACAAAAGTTTACACCAAACCCAAAAGCTAGTGATGAATTGAAGAATTCTACCAAAATCTTTGGTTTGAAATTGACCAAAGATGCCATCAAGGTGCATTGATAATTATTGACGATTGGAATGCAAAAGTTCAAATAGAAATGAAGCTCGAGATTACATTACAGAATTTTAAAAATCCAACAACTTGTTCATAAAATATACCTTTTTCCAACAACATAAAAGGTGACTATACATGTGAAAATCTCCAGATGGATTACACAGACATGAAATTTCTTCTATCTCTGGGAATAGATGCTGGAGAAACTCACTATCAGCAGCTAAAACCAGACTTTAGAACAGATCGTTAATTGCTCATATGTAAGTTCAGGTTGAAGCTGAAGAAAAGTAAAACAAGTACCTGACAGTCAAAATATGACCTTGAGTCTGTCCTACTTGAATTTCAAGAACAGGTTTGATACATTGACCACTAATGACAGCAGACCTGATGAGCTGTGGGAGAACATCAGGAACATCATTCATTAAGAAAGCAAATGGTTATTAAAAGACAGGAAAGAAAGAAAAGATCAGAGTAATTGTCAGAGGATACTCAGCATTTGCTCTTAATCCTACAGTAATGCAGGCAAATGGAAGAAATGATGAAGTCACAGAACTGAACAGAAAATTTCAAAGGGCAGCGCAAGAAGATAAAATTAAAAAAATTATAATAAAATTGGAAAAGATCTAGCGTTAGAAAACTAAAAGGGAATATCATGCTTACCATATTTGAAATTGAAAGACCCCAAGAAAAATAAAACTTTGAATAGCAATATGGAAAGATTATTTGGACAAAATGTTGAATGATGCAGGAAGTATCAAAAGAAGATGGACAGAATACACAGAATCACTGTACCAACTAGCCGACAGTCCACCCTATCACAAGATAGTTTTTAAGCAAGAAATAGTGGTACTGAAGGAAGTCCAAGCTGCACAGAAAGCATTAGACAAAAACAAGGCTCCAGGAATTGATGGAATACCAATTGAAGTGATCCAATGGGCTGATGAAGCACTGGAAACACTCACTAGTCTATGCCAGGAAATGTGGAAGACAGGTACTTGTCCTACAGAATGGAAAAGATCCATATTTGTGCCCTCTCTTAAGAATGGCGACCAAACAGAATGTTCAACCTATAGAACAATATCACTGATATCACACGCGAGTAAAATTTTGCTGAAGATCATCCAACAATGGTTGCAGCAGAACATTGACGAGGAGCTGCCAGAGGTTAAGTCCAGATTTAGAAGAGGTTATGGAACAAGAGGTATCATTGCTGATGTCACATGAATATTGGCTGAATGTAGAGAATTCCAGGAAGATGATTACTTGTGTTTTACGGATTTTGCCAAAGTATTTGACTGTGTAGATCATAACAAACTATGGATAGTCTTGAGAAAATTGTGATTCTAGAACGTTTGATTGTGCTCATGAGGAACTTGAACATGGAACAAGAGGCAGTTATACAAATAGAACAAGGGGATACTACATGTTTTAAAATCAGAAAAGGTGTGTGTCAGAGTCCTATCCTCTCTGCATACTTATTCAAATTTTATATGGGGCAAATTATCAGAGAAGCTAGACTACATGAAGATTAACGTGGCATCAGGACTGGGAGAAAGCTTATTTTCAATTTTTTAAAAAATCATTTTTTTGGGGACTCATACAACTCTTATCACAATCCACACATACATCCATTGTATGTCAAGTACATTTGTACATTTGTTGCCATCATCATTCTCAAAACATTTGCTTTCTACTGGAGCCCTTGGTATCAGCTCCTCATTTTCCCCTCCCTCCATGCTTTCCCCTGCCTCATGAACCCTTGAAAATTTTAAAATTATTATTATTGTGTCATATCTTACACTGTCCGATGCCTCCCTTTACCCACTTCCCTGTTGCCCGTCCCCCAGGGAGGAGATTATAAGCAGATTCTTATAATCAGTTCCCCCTTTCTACTCCACCTCCCCTCCACCCTCCAGTATCACCACTCACACCACTGGTCCTCAAGGGATCATCTGTCCTGGATTCCCTTTGTTTCCAGTTCCTATCTGCACC